AGGCTGTTAGTGTACTTCAGCATTTCTGAACCCCAGCAATTTTAAGATGCATGGACTTCAATACCTAGAATTCCCCAGCCAGTTGAAATCTACATATTGTCACACCCTGATTGGAGTATGCATCCGAGGAGAAAGATGAACAGCTGACAGAGAGAAGGAGTGTGGCTCTGTTGGTTGTGGAGGAAACTGGGGAAGGGCAAATTCTGGCTGGGCAGAGCAGGAAAGAGGTAGAACAAGGGAGAGGGAGTTCAGAGGAAGACCCAGGCCCACCCCCTCTTCATCCTAGGGCACACAGGGAGGAACAGAGAAGAGAATGATATGGCTTGCATGGCTTACGAGGAAGGAAAGGGCCCCGATTCCCTTCATTAGCCACAGCTGGGAAGAGAGTTTAAAAGAGATGCATGCTGAGTGCAGCAGCTTCTGGGAACAAATGTGAGTTTATCTTGTGTTGACTTTGGTTATCTGCGTTCCTGGCGTCCTCCCAACCATGTTGAGTTATTGCCGTGCCTTCACATCTGGAATTCTTTCTCTTGCCCTGCTGGACTAATTACCTCATTTTGCCTTGATTGGACTTATAGTTACAGTTTTTGTTGACCACATTTTGGACTTGACTCTCTGCAGCCAAAGGCTGTTCCTGGGAGAGTTTTTCTCCAGCTAGAAGGTAACCAGGACATTGGGGACAAAGTTATAGCTAATAAAGAGACTCCTACTGATTATCTGACTGTGTTGCCTTTGTTGCCATGCCCCGGGTCATCACACATATCTTAAAGTTGCTGGAGTTCAGAAACACTGGTCTAGTTCATCATCTATAGCAGGCCTGTCAAGCTCCCAGCCTGCGGGCTGGATGCATCATGTGCTGATCATGCCCATGCCTGGTTTAGCAAAGGGGGGGGGAAGTCCCAATACATCATGTGATACAGCCAGGATGACGTGAGTTCGACACCCCTGATCTACAGCTACTCCTGATGGCAACAAGTGGGAGCAAAATTTCTGTGGCTAAACAAGGTGGCTGTTAAGTGAGCCACACTCAATTTTACAACCTTTTTTTTGTTGTGAAATTGTGAAGCAAATGATTGCAGTTGTTAAATGAAACATGCAGTTGTTAAACAAAGCCAGTTCTCCCATTAATTTTGCTTGTCAGAAGCTGTCTAAGATGGTTGGCAATTGCATGGCACAAGGATGCTGCAACCATCCTAAGTACATGCTGATTGCTAAGTGCTTAAATTTTAATCACATGACTGTGGAGATGCTGCAACGGTCATAAGGGCAAGAACCAGTTGTAAGTCATTTTCTCCAGTGCCATCATTTGTAACTTCAAATCAATCAATGGTCATAATTGGAGGACTACCTGTGTTCCATTATTTCCAAGCTCTGTTCATTAAAAACCAGAAGATGATAAAACAGCATTTTGATATGAAAACAGAAATATTTTGATTGGGCATTATACCAGAAAAATATGATAAAGAGGCTATATACTTGATTTTACATGTACTAACTGCAGATAGAATTGTATATGCTGCAAAAAAATATTGGAGACTGATTCAAACATGGATAGAACAAATGGTGGGAGAGTATATTCCATTTAAACCAGAATTGTTTTTCTTCTTAGAATAATATCAGAAAAATTTAAGAAGGAAATAATATATCTAATAGTACATGGATTGACAGCGGCTAGAATATTATATGCACAATATTGGAAAAATGAAATTATGCCTCCAGAAACAGAAATAACAAGAAAAATTATTACACCTGCAGAATCTGATAGGTTAACTCTAGAAATAAAAGACAAATGAGTCTAAATATTATAAAACGGAATAAATTTTATAAATGGTTATATAGTAGAAGACATGTCAAAATACTAGTAGTTATGATTAGATTAATTAGTAATTAATATATTAAATAAAGAGATTATAAATGACGAAGTAAAATGTATATATGTATAACAAGTAGTTATGATTAGATTAATTAGTAATTAATATATTAAATAAAGAGATTATAAATGATGAAGTAAAATGTATATATGTATAACAAGGATAAGTTGGATGTATTGCGTTGTATTTGCATAATTAAAATTAAAAATAATTTAAAACAAAGAATTGTATATGTTCAACAGTGGAAGTGTGATGAGATCCTGACAGATGAGAAGGTAATTAAGAAAATATTAAAATGTGCAGAAATGGATAGACTAATGCTTACCATTAAGGACAAAGAAGTAACTAAATACTTTTTGACATGGGACTTATTTTATCGATGGCTAGACAATAAAAACAGGAATTGGAAAGAAAAGGGACATAAAAAGGATAAATGTTAAAATCTGTTAATATGGACTAACAAAATATTATTGTTACTACAGTATTAATGTTATTGTGATGCATGTCATTGTAAACCATGGTTGCCTAAAAACAATTGTACCCAGACAACACACTGTTTGATTGAAATGGAATAAAATAAATAAAACAGAAAAGATAATAGAACCAGAAGAAGAAGAAGAATTGTGAGGAATTAAAAGAGCTGGTTGACAGCCTGGAAAGCCTTTTGGTTCTGCGGCTGTCGCTGCACTTGGAGGAAGGTGCTCCTTTGCAAATTACATCTCATCCATCAGTGCTCCCACTGGTCTTGGGCTGGGCAGATTTTCATAACTGATATTATGTATGCTACATGGGGCTACCCTGAAAGGATGACTGGAAAACCTCTATTGGAGCAAATCGTGGTGTCTGCTAAGCTATCCTTGCCATTTGTTTCCCCAAGGTCCTCCCCAAAAAGCAGCCTGCTGTCACTCTGAAGGGTCTTGGTGTGGGGAAAAAATAGCAATTCTTGGAATAAATTTGAGGTAGGAGTAACAGCAAAATTCTTGGAGTTTCTGCAGCAAGGTTTGGCACACAAGTTAGAAAACAGAAAACAGATGAAAATGGCTGCAGCTGCTAAACAAGTCAAGCTGCATTAACAAAGGGATAGAATCAAGATCAGGTGTTAATACCACTGTCGAGCCCAAAATTGACATATACGTAGCCATTTTATTTAGCTGTAGATTCTAATCATATATTCCTTTTATTTATTTATTTTTGCTGGTTATGGGGGGAAGGATTTTGGGCTTGCCACATTCCTAAGGTGGGAGGAGTGGAAATAGAGAGAGTTGTTTAGGCTAGGTGGTTCTCCTTCCCGTGGGAACGAAAGCTGACCTTGCTGAGACCTAGAGGTGGAGATTGATGACACCAGGCAATGTTGATTTACTTCTATTGGGGAATGTGATTTTGGGGGGCTGTTTCTAATTTCCAATATTATGTGGTGTAATTCTGGTTTGTGTCAGATCCAGAATTACAACAGACTTTGCCAATTTGATGCTTACCTAAATAAAAGAAATTTGTTTTGGAAGATGAATTTTGCTTATTTCTTTTTGAATGGATTTTCATCGCTTGGAAACCTGACAACCACTTTATAATGCCTTGGTAAGACCACACTTGGAATACTGCATCCAGTTTTGGCTGCCAGATTATGAAAAAAAAAAAGATGTTGACACTCTAGAAAAAGTGCAGGGAAGAGCAACCAAGATGATTAGTGGGCAGGAGGCTAAAACATATGAAGAATGGTTGCTGGAATTGGGTATGTCTAGTTTAATGAAAAGAAAAGCTGGGGTGACATGATAGCAGTGTTCCAAAAATCTAAGGGGTTGCTCAAAGAAAAGGAGGTCAGCCTATTCTCCAAAGCACCCACAGGCAAATTAAGAAGCAATGGATGGAAACTAATTAAGGAGAGATCCAACCCAGAACTAAGGAGAAATTTCCTTACAGTTAGAACAATTAATCAGTGAAATGACTTGCCCCCAGAAGTTGTGGGTGCTCCAACACTGGAAGTTTTTAAGAAGAGATTGGACAACTGTTTGTCTGAAATAGTACAGGGTTTCCTGCTTGAGCAGGGGGTTGGACTAGAAGACCTCCAAAGTCCCTTCCCATTCTGTTATTCTCTTATATTCTGTTAACCATCTTTGGATTGGATTACCCTCTAAATAAAGGAAAAGGGCAGGGAAGGGAAATATTTGCTTGCATGTCCAACTGTGAAATAAATGTTTGGGGCAAGTAGGAAATTCCAAGATGAAAAACCTACATAACTGTGCACATTTGTGGAAGAATTTCACTTTAGAAAAGTCACTAGGCAAAGTATCTGCCACATAAGAAAGAAAAAGAACAGAGCACAAGCTCTATTCAAGTGTAGAATGTACACAGTTGTTGACCTTTGGGGAAAGAGAGGGAGAAGAAAACAGCCTCTTGGAGATATAAGTTGCAAACACAGAAATTCTTTTGACATTCCTGAATGTCAAACAGGAAAGCGGTCCATAAACTGAGATGCTTCTTCCCCAGAAACATCCTTGAAAGGGGATGCACAAACCCCATTTCAAAAAGGAAGGCTTTTTCTTATTCCACTGAAAGAGATCGAGTTATTGATCCCAATTCTCCATGTTCTTGTCTGGAAATTATATCCATGGTTCCATCTTTCAATACCCACCATTTTCCTTTCCCCAGTCTACTTCTATTTTTTTGTTATTTAAACACAACGAAAAGAAAGCTGACAGTTAAAGGTTGAATCTGAAAGACAGTATGGTCATACTTAAGATCCGCAGTGGCGCAGTGGTTAGAATGCAGTATTGCAGGCTAACTCTGTCCATCATGAGAAGTTCGATTCTGACTGAGGTTGACTCAGCCTTCCATCCTTCCAAGGTCAGGACCCAGATTGCTGGGGACAATATGCTGACACTGTAAACTGCGTAGAGAGTGTTGTAAAGCACTATGGAGCAGTATATAAGCCTAAGTGCTATTGCTACCTTCCATCTTGGTAATCCTGAATTAACTGATCCCTAGAATCCTAGATCTGGGACATATTTTAGAAGTCATCTAGCCCAACTTCTTGCTCAGTGCAGAATTCACCAGGGCTTCTTCACTAGTACATTAGAACTTTGGCAGTATCCTTGTTGAAATCACAACATGGTAACCAAGTTGAATTCTAACCTGTGGCCCCCAGCCATGGCATGGATAGAGGATCGCCGTGTGGTTTTCCTGTGGCCCTTGATCGAGGCAGACATCTTTTATCTTCTTGTTCCTCAGCTGCAACAAATCCAAAAACAGAATGAGACACTGTAAGGCTAAGATAAAGACATTTTGACAAGTGTTTTCTCTTATAATTACTGGAGGATCTATTGATTTGAGATGCGTTCGAATATTAGCAGCTTGGGTTGGTAGTTGGGCTGTTGGTTTGAGCTCCGAGGTTGGCAATTTGGTTGCAAACATTTCATCACCATTCAAGGAGACATCGTCAATGCGCTTTGAATTGTGCTTGTCTGTCAGAACACAGGTCTTTAAATACTTTTATGTGATGCAGATTAGTGTGGATGTTGTTTGTTACTTCTGAGTCATGGTCTGATTCTTGATTGGCATGTTCTTTGGTTTTAAGTACTGTCTGTGTGATGTAAAACAAACAACACTAATTTACATCACACAGATGGTACATAAAACCAAAGACCATGCCTTGGTAACAACAGCCAATCAACAATCAGACCATGACTCAGAAGTAACAAACAACATCCACACTAATCTGCATCACATAAAAAAGATATTTAAAGGCCAGTGTTCTGACAGATGAGCATAATTCAAAGTGCAATGACAATGTTTCCTCGAATGGTGATGAAACGTTTGCAACCAAATTGCCAAGCTTGGAGCTCAAACCAACAGCCCATTTATTGATTTATTTATTAAATGTATATACCACCCAGCTCACTATCCAAAGCAACTCTGAGCATCATCAGCTAATCATTCATTTTTACTTACAATAGTATGCTTAATTTTATGGATGAAATGAGTTTTTGTTTAAAAAGGAGAGAGAGACCTCTAGTGAAATTCTTATGAATCTTATGTATTTTTGGATTTCAGTATATTTTCTTATCTCTTAGTTCACCAGCAATCGGCAGCCTTCTTGGCTTCCCACACAGTGATTCTGTCCAAACAGAAAGCAAATAGCAGCAGCCAGGGAGACTGTAGATCAAACACAGAGATAAATTCACCTCAGCTTAACTACAACGAATTCTTGGGCCCTGTGAAAATGAGGTTGACAGAATAGAAAATGTTACAGGACATCAGAAAGCAGACTGTGCGTGGTATTGGTTTGGATCCAAATCACACGTTTTTAGAAATGTAGAAGTTATATCAGCCGCCATTTTGACTGCCAAGAGGAAGCCATGGGTACGAGGGCCTTTCTCTCTTTCAGGAGGGTGGGCCAGGCTAAGCCCAGAACATTTTAAACAATTTGGTTGAAGCATTTTCTTTTGGCATTTCAAGCTATGAGATGCATGAGGGGGAATTCTACTATACAGGCAATTCTCGACTTACAATAGCTTATTTAGTGACTGTTTGAAGTTACAACGGCATTGAAAAAAGTGACTTATGACCGCTTTTCATACTTATGACTGTTGTAGCCTCCCTGTGGTCATGTGATCAAAATTTGGATGTTTGGCAACTGGTTCATATTTATGACGGGTTGCAGTGTCCCCTGGGTCATGTGATCCTGTTTTGCGACCTTCTGACAAGTAAATTAATGGGGCAGCCAGATTCACTTAACAACCTTGTTACTCATTTAACAACTGCAGTGATTCAGTTAACAGCCATGGCAAGAAAGGTCATAAAATAAGGCAAAACTCACTTAACAAATGTTTCACTTAGCAACATAAATGTTGGGCTCAATTGTGGTTGTAAGTCGAGGACTACCTGTATTATCAACCCATTTCTTGGTTCTTTCACAAAACAATAATGCCATTCAAAATCAGCTCTCATTATAATATCCATCCATCCTTGCTTCCATCCATCCAGCCAGCCAGCCAGCCAATTTATATGCCCACCCATCAATCTGAGAAACTTGGGGTGGTGAACAAAATAAGAAGTTCCATAAAATCAAAAATAAACCAGATCAAAGTCTATTTATCATTTACGCTCATGCCAATGTTTCAGTGACTTCTAACTCAGCCCCAATGAGATCTTTGTGGACCATCCATTTCTTGAAGAAGGGGGTAGAAATCTGTTCCATTGGGTAGGATGCCATTACAGAATAGATACTCCCTCAGACCACAACAATGGGGATTAGGGTGGGTAGGGGTGTGGGCACACACACAGTCTGAAAATTAATTCCCACTGTCTTACAATATAATTCACACTGATTAGAAAAGTAGTAATGGAAAGAATCCCAGGCCAAGCAAAGCTGGACTAACATAAGAGCAACATATTTTATCCATTCTTCATCATAGCCAAACTCACTGTAGGCTTTCCTCCCCCAATTACTATTAATGTATCCACCAGATATCAAGAATTATCTACCCTGGTACATAGGTAATATATACATTATTGTTATCTTTACAGGATGAGCCTCCTAGGAATCTTTCTGGCTTTCTCTCCTAGCATTTTTCTCCTCTCCGCCAAACATTTATCTTTTTAAAGAAGTGATGGGAGATTAAAGATTTCTTTTTTCTCTCTTTTGAAATGGTAAAATCTAAAACCTCCTCCTCGTCTTCCCCCTTCTCTAGGTGGAATGGAAACTTGATACACTGTAAAAAAATAGCTGAATGTCCATTCGTAAGTGATTGGTTATGTCTGGAATAGAATAGCAATTGAAAATGAATTATGGGTGAATTATTTCTGTCTGTATCCTTAGGCTCTCTGCCAGCTTGTCAAGCAAATGGCCAGCAAGTGAGGGCTTCTGCAAACTTCCCAGGTGCTGCTGTGCAATGGCTTTTGACTGCACATCAATCTATATTTTAATTCTGGGCTGAATATGATGAAGTGGACGCCTGCCCTATTCATATACTTCATAAAGGGCAGGAGTTTTCAGCTAAGGAGAACATTATGAATGTCCACCACCACTATACAGATATCCCACCCCATAGCTTACTTTCCAACAGTTGTTTTCTAGAGCTGTTTCTCCTATTTTAAGCTCTGTTGTTCAAAGTGATCTCAGATCAGACAATGGCTCTGTTCATCAACAAAGAAATGTGGGTTGAATAGTGAAGACCTTATGACTACAGAAGCCAAACTATTGATCTATCAACTGCAGTATACCATGCATTGGCTGTGTCCACCCAAATACATAACCAAGAACATTATAATTGCATGTTGCAGTAATATTCACTTTATTTATTTACTTACTTATAAGACTTATCGACTGCTCTAATCAGAATCAAATCTTGGTCAGTTGCTTTTGTGGCTCAGTGGATCATGTAAATCAAGGCAATTAGCTAGTTTGGTTCACTGCATTGTGTCAACCCAGAAAAATGGCTTAATTTAGTAGTCACGATAAAGAATGATGATGAATGCAAAGTTTCCAGCAGGAATATTTCTCAAACTGACTTGGGAATGTTGGGTTTAAATTTCTGCATGTAACCCACTCAGCCACAGCTCTATATAACTTAATTGAGGAAGTGACCGTTAAAGTAGAATTGCATAAAACTTCAATTTGGAAATTTGATGTGAAAATCACTTGGCTGAATGAAGAAGAATCAAAACAACCTTCCAAATGGACTGACAGCTGAAATCATTTAGATTGGCATAGACTGACAGCTGAAATTATTCAGATTGGCAAATTAGTATGAATTGTTAGAACAGGTAAACGAGGCCATCCAACCTGAATTGAGATTAGAATTAGACAGCATCCTATCCATACGTCTAAAATCAATTCAGATCATGCTGTCTAAAACCAACAGCTTGGTACTGCCAAACCAGGAATGGGAAACTCATGTCCTATCAGGTGTGGTTGGTCTGTAAATCCCTTCAGTCGTGGCTACGGAACTAATGTTACAGCCTGACAAATATTGCAAATCAATACAGTGCCTAAGCCTTCCTAAACAAACTGGAATCCAAGAGGATTGCAAGACTAAACAAATACAAGAAATAGAAAAGAAACAACAGAAGACATCCTTTTATAATTAGGGCTGAAAAATATAACACACATTTCAAAGCCAGTGTGATTCATCATAAAGTAGAACTTTATCTGAATCAAAGTGCACTTACAGCCATCTGGCTTTTTGTGAATTCTACAACTAATTTCTCTCCACTAAATTTCAGACAAAGAATAAAGTTCTCTCATCAGATCCAATGCTTGACATTATTTAGAACAGAGACAAGGGTAAGGCTCTCAGATGCTACCATCACTTTAATTTGATAACAGTGAGATGGTAGATGGCCACCTATTTTGAGCAGTTTCTTCAAATACAGATACAGATAATCAGAGTTGGAAGGGACCTTGTAGGTCATCTAGTCCAACCCCCCACCCAAGCAGGCCCTACACCATTTCTGACAAATGGCAGTCCAATCTCTTCTTGAAAGTCTCAACTGATGGCACTCCCACAACTTCCGAGGGCAAACTGTTCCATTGGTTGATTGTTCTCACTGTCAGAAAGTTTCTCCTTGTTTCCAGGTTAAATCTCTCCTTGTTCAGTTTCCATCCATTATTCCTTGTCTGGCCTACAGGTGCTTTAGAAAATAGCTTGGCCCCTTCCTCCCTGTGGCAGCCCCTCAAATATTGGAAGACCGCTATCATGTCTCCCCTGGTCCTTCTCTTTACTAGACTAGCCAAGCCCAGTTCCTGCAACCGTTCTTCATATGTTTTAGCCTCCAGTCCCCTAATCATCCTGGTTGCTCTTCTCTGTACTTTTTCTAGAGCCTCAACATCTTTTTTATAATGTGGTGACCAAAACTAGATGCAGTACTCTAGGTGTGGTCTTACTAAGGCTTTATAGAGTGGTATTAGTACTTCCCTTGATCTTGACTGTATCCCTCCATTAATGCAACTTACTGTAGGATTGCATTAGCTATTTTGGCGGCTGCTGCACACTGCTGGCTCATATTTAGCTGGTTGTCCACTAAGACTCCAAGATCCCTATAATAGAGAGCCTCAAATGCAGTTGTTACATTTGTAATAAGGAACCCATCTTTAGTCTTGCCATTGAAAAAAAGGACCACAGTTAGCACAGCTGGGAAATTGCTTACAGCACACTCTATTGCAGTCATAAGGGCCAGATATCACCAGTCTGGTGGTGGAGAAGTTGCCAAATTAAAAAAACAATTTGAAAATCACTTGATTGAAGGAAGAATCAAAACAACTTTTCAAATGGACTGCCAGTTGAAATCAAGTTCATTTCCAAATCAATTTGAATGGTTGAATCAGATCAAGCAGACCATCCAAATTGAACTGAGATTAGAAACAGATGGCACCTAGTCCCTATTATTTAAAACCAGGTCTGGCTTGGTGCTGCCTACCAAATGTGGTTAATCTATAATTCCTATCAATTCTGGCTAGGATAGTTAATGCTAAGAAATGATATCTTGATAAAGAGTCAGGAAAGTTTCTCAAGTAGAAAGTTAAAGTGGACAGCTATGATGCAAATCTTGGTGGCATCTTCTGCAACTGATAACCAGCAAAGACAACATTCAAGAAGAATAGTAACTGAAACTCCCAAACCTCTGAAAGATACCAAGTCTCCTGGTGTAGACTATTCTGGATTAAATGGAACATGACCAAATGAAAGTGATTCCAGAGATTTTTGTAATCTTCTTTTCTGAAGGCAAGAATTACATTGGATAGCCATTGGGGTTGGCTGAAGGAGTTTTAATTCCAGTTTTTGAGTAAAACTGGTTGATTCTAGTTACTCCCTGCAGATCTCATTAGAAAATGGTTGGAGGAGAGACATAAAATGTTCTCTAAATTCACAGTGAATCCCTACATATTCCATGTGGTAGTTCCTTAATTACCTCTCCATAGGCAATGGTGTTATTGTATCTTCTCATTTCTGGGTAGACGTGGTCCAGGTACCATTGGAAACTCTTGCACTTCAAACTCTTTCTTAATGCTTTTCGCTCCGAAACATCCCCAATATCAATCCCTGGGTTCTGAAAGACAGGTACATGTTTACAACCGTCAATTTCTCTTATTGTTGCTATGTTCTGAGATAATCAGATGTTCACTACTGCTTTTTAAAAAGGCATTGTTAGGAATCTTTCTTTTGGATTCTCCTACCTCCATAGCTTATGATGTCACCCTTGAGAACTTTCTCTTCTTTTCGCATTGGAAAGCCCTAAGAAACTTAGAACAAGATTGTCAATATATCTGGAGTTAGGTGAGCTAACAGACCTCTTTATAAAGTATGAGTAATCTTTGGCCTAAAAATCACCCCCAGCATAAAATTCCCATTCATCCCAGCCAATAAAGCTCGTCATCATCGTTGTTGTATTTGTGTCAGAAGAAGCAACAAGGCACTTCCAGGTTGAAAGGGTTAACTGATGATATCACCGTTGCCCAGGGAGTTGAAGGAACTCCTTTCACATCCCCATTAATAAGCCCACCAAAATGGTACCTATTTATCTATTTGCAATTGCATGCTTTTTGGAGCTGGAGCAAATGATGGAAGCTCACTCTACAACTAAGCAATACTCAGGTCTCAAACATGGGCTTGCTGATTGTCAACTCAGCATTCTTCACCAATACAGCTAAAGATATGGAGTATAATTCAGTGGCAAAGCACCTGCTTTAGTTCTAGAGCAGGATGTCAAACTGGCAGCCCGTGGGCCAGATATCTTCATGCCCAGGCCACGCTCACCCCAGCTCTGTGAATGGGAAAAATGTCATGAAACATCATGGGACAGCAATGTGTTGCAGCGAGTTTGATGCCTGTAATCTAGAAGATCACAAGTTCAATCCCCACCACTTCCAACTAAGAGTAGCGAAATGTTTATGAATGGCAATAGATGAAGCATTCTGAAATCAGCATGTTACATTTTGATTTTAAAATCAAAGGGAAAGTCTGCTCTGATTCTTTTTGGAACTTGAGATAACTCAAGAATGTTCAAAGAGATTTAGTCCTATGCTCAGAAATGGGCCCTTTCATCTCAAAATCAAGATGTCTCATAGGAAGAGCTTAGGATCCCAGTCTCTGAAAAGCACCTTTTTCTGGAATGCAGGCTTAAGACATATAAAAAGGTAACCTTCTCAGCATTAATATCTGCTGGAGAGTCCTGGTGTGAAGTGATATCCAGAATGTTGAATTTATAATTTTAAGAAGCCTGGTTAGCTTGTTCTTTAATGAGATTTTGTTTCTCCAAACCTATCATCATCACTATTTTCATACATATATACATACCCATCATGCTATTTTTTTTCAAAATAAGCAAAGTTATGCAAAGCAGAGAAAGGGATCAAGAAGCCGTGAAGACAAACGATACGAGAGAAGAAAGATAAATCCAGCTAAATTTATACCAATGCCATCACTGCATCCCTCTCTATATGCCCGTCTTCTGAAGAATGTCGGAGACTGCAAATTCCTCCTAGTAGCTGTGATCTGGGCAACCAGGTGATGGCTTGAAAGATTAGATTAGAGATTCTACCTTGCAGAGAAAACCATAGTATGCTTGGGGTAAAATGCACCCTTTAATTAAGGGTATTGAAAATAGTGTACGTCTTCTCTATCGAATGGAAATGCTGAAGAGTTATGTGAAAATCTTGATTGACTGAAGCCATAATAGGCAGCAGAAGTCAATATTCATGGAAGCTTTTGCTGTTGATATTTTTTAATTGTTGTGGTAGTTACTATTGTTAAAGAAGATGACTGATGTGAGGCCAAACTATTATGCTCCCATAAATTGAATTTTCATTCTTTCTATTGTCAACGTTCACAAACGAATGCCACTGAATGAATTTGCAGCCCCAAATAACACCATCTATCTAGATGTTTATGGAAATCTCACATTTCAGAAGTGCAAGGGGAAAAAAAACTGAAAAGGGAAAAGAAAAACTTGGAAATTTTTGGAGGACTAAAATGTGAACAGTGGAGACTGGGCCATCTCATACAATGAGAAATACCAGGGAAAGAAGTAATGAAATGATGGGATGAAGAAAGTTTTTTTAAATCCCTTATCAAGGGTGAAAGTTGGTTAAGGAGTTTTTCCACATTTAGCTGAAAGTCCCAGTTATAATTTTCTATTTTTCAATCACAATCTATCTTTAACATGTTTTTGAGACATCCTGTTCACTTTTCAGACAGTAAAGAAAAAAAATATATGAATCTTTTTAAAAAGCAAAATAGGTTTTCTCAATTTTTATACTGTCCAGTCTGAAAAGAAATACCTTTCAGGGTAGTGAATGTTTGTGAATATTTGGAATTATAATTTCTGTTATCTGGGAAATTTGATTCAGGGTCCACTTACTTTCTCTCTCTCTTTCTTTCTCTCTCTCTCTCTTTCTTTCTTTCTTCATTTTTAATGAGTTCAACCTATGCTCGATTAGCGGCTTAGAAAACATACAGAGCTTATCTTTCAAGATGACAACTCTCAAGGCAAAGAACAAAGATAAAAGCAAAAAACAAAAATCAATAAAACATACCAAAGGAAATGATAACCAGAAAAACAAAGGCCGAAATCAGTCAAACTAAATGTGCCAGAGAAGAAAGAAATAGTTTTTAAGCCTGATTAGAAGTCCAAGATCTCATTTCTAACAAGGCTGAACAAACAATTGGCTTCCGTATTGATAATGTATCTTCACTAGTAAAACTCTCCCCACCTAACTATCAACCTGATTATTAAATTAGCCATGCTGCTTTTTTTTTTAATGAAAAGAAATGTCCCAACAGATGGCAACAGATCCAAAAATCTTAGTAATGTTAGATCTGGTTAGCACATTAGGAAGTGCAGATCTGTAGCCTAGATGGTAAGGTAAAAATATCTGGAAAATTGAAAAATAGCAATATTCTAGCCTGCTGTAATTAAGAAAATAATATATATGGAAGTCAGCACCTAGATGACTTTGACTGAACTTGAAAAGGGAAATGGTGTTAGATCTGATTAGTATTAGAATGTGAGACCAGCAGGTGATGCATTGGGAGGAAAAAAAGAAATTAAAAAGGCAATTGCAAAGCGCTTCCACATTGTTTCCAAGAAAATAGCACAGACATATCCATGAAATCTTCGGGAATTGGAATTCATTGTAAGTTTGCCTTACTTACATTCAGGAAAAATAAAGTCACAGAGGTATGGATGGATTCCCTCTGCACTTTTATATATTTGTTTGCTTTTAGGTTTTATTTCTCATGTTCTTATTCGAATGAGGGTTGAGAAAAATAGCAATTTAAAGCCTCTCTGGGGACATACTTAAAGCAAGGCACTTGTAAAAAGCCTTTCAGATTTAACCATTTAAGTCCCAAAGGTGCTTTTTCAGGAGGCAACTGGACTTTCTTTGGTTTTTCCTTGAAGACATTTCACTTCTCATCCAAGAAGATTCTTCAAGAAGCTGTTTGGATGAGAAGTGAAACGTCTTCAAGGAAAAAAGAAAGAAAGTCCAGTTGCCTTTTGAAAAAGCACCTTTGGGACAACCATGACCTGGAGAATCTCTGTAGACACAATCATTTTAGCATTCATGGGAGGCTGATAGTAAACAATTTCAGCCATCAAAATTCACTGGTAGGAACTGGCTTGGGCTCCAGCATCTATATCAGGGCTATCAAACTCGAGTTCATTGAGAGCCACATCAGGGTGGTGCTTGACCTTGGAAGGCCAGGGTGGGCATGGCTGGGGTGGGTATTGCCAGCATGATGTCATTTGTGTTGAGGGGTGCTCTCTGCCATGAGAACGGGCTCCCATTTTCGGCTGTGACGGCCTCCTGCAGCCCTCTGCCAACAAAAACGGAGCTTGGGAGGGTTGCGTGCGGTCCTCATGAACTCTGTTTTCGCTGGCAGAGACACTTCGGGCTGGTCCTTTGCTGTTTCCAGGGTGGTCCCATGGGCCAAATCTAAGCACCTCATGGACTAGTTCTGGCCCCTGGGCCTTGAGATTGACACCCCCGTGATCTATATAAATGGACAGGTGGGGTCACTTATGGCCAATGGGGTCATATTGCTCATCTCTGTCAAAAGTGGAACTTTTCAATTAAATTGGCACTCAGGTGGGTTCTGTCAGGTGCAAGAAGGATCGAGATTAAAAAAAAAAAAGGACTGCAAGTTTATTCCTTGCAACTTATACACAAGAATCAGAACTACTAACGTCGAGGGGCAGGACTTAGGTCTCTTATGGGGGCGTAGACTCCAAACAAATGGTGCATTTGACCCTGCTCTCAGGCTCCCCCTGGTCATCTCCTACAGGTTCATGAAACATGTTCATGTGGAAATTATGTACTTCCAAATGAAAAAGCAAAATCTGAAGCTGAGGTCCATTTTCCAGCCCATCACAGTTCCTAGAATTCGGTCCATATGAAACCCCTGGCATTGTTGTGGTCTTATGTGGGAGCTTCCAAAGTTGCTTGAGTACCATAATAACCAAGTTATCCATCTCTATTCCTCCTCATTTTTTTCTTTTTTTGCCTTTCCATTAAAATGTAAACAAAGAAGAGAAAGAGAAAGAAAATCAGAGTGGTTTCTGGTGCTAAGAGATGGGCCATGACACATATTTTTTCTGTCTGGAGCAAAGTTCGCACTTTCTTCACCCCCATTTGACAAGTTGAAAGCTAGCAGATTGGCAACTAGTGATGAAATCACTTGTTCCAGCAATTTCTGAAAAGAAGGTCACGGTCTCCTCCCTCTCATAAAAGAGGAAAAAAGATCTGGAGCAGGAGGAATTCAAAAAAGGAGGAATTAGATTTCTTTAGCCTCTTTGTATGACAGATCTACTGTGTGGTTTATGTAGTGTGTGTGTTTGTAGCAATAGCAATAGCACTTAGACTTATATACCGCTTCACAGTGCTTTACAGCCCTCTCTAAGTGGTTTACAGAGTCAGCAAATTGCCCCCAACAATCTGGCTGCTCATTTTACCCACCTCAGAAGGGTTGAAAATTGAGTCAACCTTGAGCCAGGTGAGATTCAAACTGCCAAATTGAAGGCAGACGGCAGTCAGCAGAAGTAGCCTGCAGTACTGCACTCTAACCACTATGCCACCATGGCCCTTTGTACAAATAGGATGCCTACAAAAGGCTGAAAGATTCTCTGCTATAGACATAGTCCTTCACATCAAGGACATTAAGAGACAAGGCAAATGATGGAGACCTAAGTTTGTTGACTCACCTCCAATGGAAGGTTCCATGCGATATATACATGGGACTTGTAATCATCCATCCAGACCTCGGCCACCCGCAGTGCGTTCCTCTTGGTGTAGAAACCAATGTTGTTATTGTACGGCTTTTTCTTGCGCTCAATGTGGGCCACTCGAGAACAGGGGAGAACCTCCATGCTGCCACCACACAGCCATACCTGGGAAGATTGAGACAAAGGAGAAAAGACAACAACAGAAAGTCAGTAACTGGAAACACCTCATATTCACATATCCTAACCTCCGTTGCTACCTTCCAAGATGGTACCTTTCAGATCCATTTTATTCCGCTAGGACATCTGGAAGATTTGCATTACTCAGTGTAAATGAGGTGTATCCAGCGAGCCATGGTGGCACAAAAATGATAAATATGTATGATGACTTCCCGCCTAAGCTCTTTTCTTTTGTACTTGCATTGGTTTTTCTTTCCCAATCATTTTATTAAGGATTATATTAAGTAAAACCAAAATCAATGCAACAATATAGTAGAGAAATACATTAAAATTGTTTAAAAATTAAAAAGTGCAGAAGAGAAAAAAACATCAAATGTGTTAAGACACTGGACTAGAAACCAGGAGGCAGAAGAATGGGGAGCCAAAA